GCAGGTACACATCAGTAAGAAGAGCATTGCAACCCAACAAGTGGCAAGAGCAGAGGCACCAAAAAAAGAGGGATAGAGCAGCAGTAGTAGTACAGGCCAAAGTGGTAAAAAGGAGGGTATGAACCTCTCCAGAAAATCAATCAGAAGCCTACAACATAAGATGAAAGGATGAGAGGTAATGTAGGATGGTGGTAAGAAAAAAAATAAAGGCACAAACAACTGGCCATTAGAGAGTGAAATAAAGTTAATGAATATGCCCCTAAGTACGTAAAAGATATTCTAAAGATTGGAAATCAAGGAAAGGAAAAGAAGTCTGGCTATAAGCCAGGACAAAAGAGTTGAGGAGGACAAGACACATGGGTGCAGGTGTGTAGTTGTTCTAGAAACAATTCTCATTAACCCTAATATCGGACAAAGGAGGAAAGACAAAGTAATCAAAAGACACAAGCAAAAGAGAAACAAAAGAACATACATCAGCTAAATTAATCCAAGTAGGAGGAGGCCCAGCATGCATGAGGGAACCAACAACACACTGAACAAAGGCTGTAACATCCTCAACAGACAACAGGCCCCCAGTAGCTACAAAATACACAGGTCCCATGTTAGTAACATCATCACCATCACAAGACAAAGTAGAAGTTACTGTTACTTGAGAAATCATTTAAGGTATTGTTCTGTTTTTTTCACTACTGTAAAGAAAGAAATGCTTAAACTAGAAGAAAATTTAAGTTTTGTTCAAGACAATGCCAAGGAAAAGAATGAAGTTATTTCAAGTACAAGACTTAAGTGGAGTTACTGTGCAAGGAGGTTGTGTTGCTTTCCTATTGGTGGAGGGCTATTGTTGCATGATAATGTCATCACGTACTAGCGTAGTTCACGTTCATATGGGACTTTTTAGGTGGGAGTTAGCTTAAGACTAGTGGCATGCAATTCTCTTAGGAGACACGCGAGGAAAAAAGCAATTCTGTGTAAAGAGGTGAGGTGTCATTTCATAATTATTGTTGAGACATTACCTAAGTGTGTCAAATTAGTCCTAGATAAAACTCTGAAAATAGTGTTGTTGCATTATCTAAATAACAAATAAGTCCAAAATGCAACTCTAAAATAACTACTGCTGTATTATTTAAATGGCAAGTCTTTAAAAGGTTTATTTCTAGTTGTCTTACAAAGTGTTCAAATAAAATCTATCTCACTAAAGGTAAGACTTAAAAATTATTGTATCTCAATATAAGTAAAAGAAGTGTTTCATTTTTTGCTCTGTACCCAAGTTTGTATTTTTTTTACAGATTTCAGACAAATACAATATGAAATATAGCTGATAAAAATAAAATGAAGCTGTTACAAGTTAACTAAATATCTATTTTGCAAAATAAAACTTTTTAAACCAGCTTTGTTATTTGGATCAATGGACAAATATATTACTTAAAATAGCTTTACCACTGATCTTCGATAATAATTTGTTGAAATGTTAAACACATTCCCCTTTCTCTTACCAACTATAGTTATAACACTCTATTATATGTTTTTTCCCAGTATTGATCAATGAAATGAATACGCTGTTACTTGTGCATGTAATACGTGACAAATTTTAACATCTCACAATCAACTTTCAAGAAAAAAAGTGTTTATTTTTGATAAAGAATGTTTTTTGAAAAGAATTTATAAGGACATGTAGTTTCATGAAGCTCTTAAGACATTTTACGAGTTAATTCAACTAAGAATAAATTATATTCTCCTTCTTGATATACTATTTACATAAAAACAAAAGCCCGTTGCAAAATACACATTTTTCTTTTAATTTCCCATTAAACTGATAGAAATTACACTTCATCAACTTAATCTAGTTCACATCATAGCCGTTGTTGTTCATGCAATGTGATAATATAAACACGTCTCTCAGCCACTACTATGCCTGTCATATCCAACTTGGCCTTATGATCCCTGTAACTGGGCAAAAGGCATCATTGGAACTGGATATATTTGATATACTGTGGATGACATATTGTTAAAATTCTTCTTTGCTTTCACTCACAAGTTATTAGAATTACATGCTAGAAAACTGAAAAAATTCACTAAAATCTTTATTTACCAGTTCTAGTATTTAAGCTTAACCAGATGATAAGTTTTTGAAGTGATTAATGGAGAAGAGAGTAGTTTGTTAAGTTGAAAAGAAAGCACTTTAAAAAATATTACAAAGTATATTTATGCTGCTATTATAGTTTAAAATGACTTTGAAGCCAAAACTTTTTAAATTTACGTTTGTGCTGATCTTTAATCATGAAATAATCTAAATTTGAAAATTATTGTAAAGCAACATGTATTTTAGAATAACTTACATACATACAAAAATAAATAAATATATGCATATGTTAATGAATATTAAAAAAAACACCCATTTAGTGCATCTAGTGCATGATGATGAAATGTCTATACACTAAAACTTTAATGAATATGAACAATTTACACTATACAACCAATCAGCACCCATTTAAAGATGATCCCAGAGGAAAAATAAGATTATCATCAACATCACAGTCAAGTCATGCTGGTATCGAGCCAGTAACTCCTTCGAAGGAGGAAACAAAGCACATCATGCAAAAGGAAAAATTCTAAATTTTCATTGACTCCTTTTAAACTTCAATATGATTTCATGGATTTGCATTCTCTCCCTGGTAAAACAAACAGGAACTCATCAGTATGAAACTGCAGAGTAATGATATTTCACACATTAAGTATGCTGCATCGATTTATGTTATGAAAAACTTGTAATTTACTGTCCATTCCATCCAACCTGCTTTAGTTTTGTTTTCCCCAATTTACAGTGACTCCTTAAATTAACTCACCATACATGTTGTTGGTCTGGTTATATATACCCTACTTCAGAAGTTATTTTAATGTTTGATGTTAATATCCTCTATAATGCCCTACTACATAATTTCTAAAGTTTGATCAATTTTTACCCCCAACCTCATCTAAGCAGTTGAATAATCCAAGATTAAGTTGTGTTGATAGTAGGTTATCCCAAGTATGTTAGCACATCCTACTAACAGTAGGTCAAGTACAAACTTTAAGAATATCAATCACATTTTTTATATCTAAGCCTTCAAGATTGCATAACTAGAATTATACTATACAAAATAAATATTCCAAGTCATGGGCATCCACAGAAACTTTTTTTTTGGGGGGGGGGGGGTAAAACATGTAAGTAGGGGATCAGCTTTTACAGAGTAAGCCAACAGAATATGTAATATGTGTGCTTAAATGTAAACACGAATTTATGGCTTGAATAAGAATTACTAAGAATAATTAGTTTAACTATGATGTCAAGTTTATAATATGTGCAATTTTTTGTGAAATGTAAGGGGGGGACAAAAGTCCCCATCTTGCCCTTTATTGTGGGTGCCCATGTTTCAAATAACTTGAACAAAACAATTTTGAAATCGAAGGCAGTCTTACCATGATCATATATAATCACCACGTGCAACAACCATGTAAAAATAACTACATAAAGTCACCATACAGAATCATTCAAGTCTATAAAACTAAAAATTTAATTATTTTTTATTGTAACAGATAAAACAAGCTTTTTTTAAATAAACAATTGTTAAGGGCCATGCAAAGGTTTCTTTTCTTTCTTTATAATATTTTGTATATACTTGACCACCAATATTTTAAATCTTTTAGTATGAAGTTAAATAATTCAGATTCAAGCAATAAATAAACAATCATGAGAGCATAATGAAAATGTGTTTCTGTAAATATTTAAATGAGCTGACAAAAAACAATAAAGTCCCAGATTTTAAGTGCTTAGTTTTTTAGAAGTTTCTTTTTTTATAAGAAACTAGCATAGTACCCAGCATTGCTTAGATAAAAATGACTAACCGATTTAGTTCTTTATTGATATGCTAACTTATTTATCCACTGTAAGTCTTCTTTGTACATAATACTTTTTGTCTTGCTATCAGGCATAAAGAAGAGATTATTTTCACTCTCTTGATCAAACATTACCATAAATACTGATCTTTTCAATTTGACACCAATTGGCTGTCCTGTTTGCCAGAAATTGCTATATTAGCCACTTTGGCCTCAATTTGCAGACTCAAAACAGCCTCTGAGGCTGTGGCCACATAACCAATGTTACTTCTTGCACAAAGGTGTATCTGTACCCTGAGTTTGGAGTTTTAACGATGTGGCCATGCATAAGAAACAGACCCACAGAAGGAAAAAGAGACATTCGTGCTTGAATATATATATATATATATATATAAGATGATTAAACACAAGAGCTATATCTATAAGGTATTATAAGTTCATTCTTGACACAACTTTCATGAAAATACTTTTCTTTTTTCAAAGTCAGGCACTGTCCTGTGAATGGTCTATTTAAATAAATTACTAGTATGGAAGTAGAACATTTGAACCAAACACTATTTAAAATGAATAAAACCTAAAGCAGGTTCCCTGCTCTTGGAATTTAAGCTACCGAAATTAAAATCAATGTTAACTTAAATCTGGATTTACCTGCACTGTTTTAAGTAAAGTAAACAGGATTCTTTCATTGGTTTGAATTTAAAATCAAAACCCATGTGTTTAGAGTGTGTAATTTTGGCATCCCCATTTTTAACACAATACCTTCCAGAATTACTTTGGAATATATAAAACAACAACTTATAATGTACTTTACTTAAAAGTTGTATTTTAACAGGTAAGAGTAAAGAGATGCCCATAAATAGGTACAAGATAAAATGATGCAAAATTTAAATATCATTTAGTATCTGGCAACTATATGGAAACAAGTGAACTAAACTTGAAGCATATTGAATTCAATACATTAATAAAGAACATGACAAGACTAGATTACATGCGTATATTTGAAAAATAACATTAAACATTTTTCTTTTAATGAAAATTATGCATTGCTATTTCTATAAATATCTACTGACACAAGCATTTGTAACACGTACAAACCCCCTACAAGGAATACAATAGATATCCATTACCTCAAAATTTTCATCATCATCTAAATCCACCAGGTGAGCAGAATTGGATCCATGTGAATCTTCTTTCTTTATCATTCGTCCCATTGGATCAAATGGATCTACTACCACTTGTTCAGTCCCTTTGATTTCTGCTCGGCAAAATGGACAACCTTGACCTTCTGAGTCCTACATCGAGAGAAAAGAAGTTATAAAGAATGTGTTATTTTAATCATGAAAAAAAGTATATTATATAGATAAATGATAAAATAATAATAATAACACACTGTGTTTGCTCATATTAGATGAAGTAAACTTTCAAACAGTGGAACAGAGAAAGTTTCTGTTTGTTTAAACATAAAGCTGCACAATGGACTATTGGTGCTGTCTCCACTGCAAGGATTAAACCCTGAAATTTAGCATCATAAGCCCTCAAACCTACTGTTGAGCCACTGGGGGGAGAAGGTTTCACTAAATATAAATGAAAACCCAGTAATATTAATACAAAAGTCTACTATTTGGAAGAGATACACAAAAGTTGTAAATAATTTAGTTAATTCATTTTCTAGTGAAACAAATCTGAATGCTTTGTTTTCTTAGTATAAAAAAATTTTTAAATTATGAGTTAAGTATCAAGTACAACACTACTTACTGTAAACTAATGTGTAAACAGTGTAAAACTTTCACAAAAATAATTTTTTGGTTTTGGATAAAAAAATTTATGAAAAGTTATAATTTTCCTACACTGAAAACTTATTTCCGATATGGTACATTACCTCTTCTCACATGAATAGCTATTCTCATTCAGTGCTGCCCTCTATACTCAATTTTTTTTATGCATGCCACCCCTTCACTGGCACTGACTGATTCCAATTCGTCTCTCATGTGACTCCCTCTATTCATATCCCCCGAACTATCACTTCAAGTTTTGGCAGAAAATTGAAGCACCGGTTTTCAATGGGGAGGAAAAGTGGGAATTGTGAGTGGAAGTAAGTATCTATCAGAAATACATTTTTAGCGTAGGAAAATTATAACTTCTGATACACTACATTAACTCCACTCACATAAATAGCTAGAATCCCACATTGAAAAGGTGGAGGCACTGGTATGAGTGAAAGAAAAAAGCATCCAAAGTACACTCTCCAACAGGAGATCTTGGGAGTTGAAGATCATACATGGGAGATTGCACCACTTCTGAACCAGGTATACTCTTCACCCATCATAGAAAGATGTCGCTAGAGGTAGGTATAACAGCAAAAGTGGGAACATGAACCAAAGAATTTGAATGTAGAAATATGTAAGTCAAACAAAAGTGTGTGATATAAAATATAGAAGTGTGAGAAAAAAAAATAAAGACTGGGAAATTAAGTTAAATTAAAAGATTTCTTCAATGTAAAGAAAAAATAATAATGATGAAGAAATCCCACTTTGGAAATTAAACTATAAAAATCATGATTCACACAAGGAGCACCAAAAGAAAAACATCTGAACACGAGTACTGCCAAACAAGAAGTGATAGTTTGGTAGAACTGAATAGAGAGAGTCACATGTGTCAAGAGTGTATATTGCACTCTTATTGGTGGAGGGTTGATGCATGATGTTTTTGCATGAGAGATACATTGGAATCAGTCCATTCCAATGGAGTGGAGACAGAAGGCTTGTGGCATGCATAAAATATTTTTTCATATAGAGGACAGCACTGAACAATAATAGCTATTTATGTGAGGAGAGGTAATGTACCATATTGGAAACCATCTATTAAAACAAAATTGGTTAAAAATATTATGAAAACATGATCGTTTGGAAGACTGAAATAAATTCACTTGCTTTCTTAAAAGGTTAGAAAAAATAGAGTTATAATATTTTAAATGTGTTATATGAGATTTTAGTGCTAAAAAAATTTACACAAAATGGGTAAAGACTAAAGGTGGGATCTTAAGTGCTAAGTCTGTGGTCATTATTAAAACATCTGAGAAAAGTCTAAGAAAATAAATTTACCAAGAAAAAAAAACAATAATACTAAATATTTATATTATGTAAATAAATTTGGAAATGTTAAACAAATACAACAAAGTTTTCAATGGTTGATTCATACACATTCTATCTTTACTGCTTGTAACTATTATGTGACTGATATTTTCAAAATGATAATATTAGCTACAAAAAGAATCTGATAATCCACTATCCCACAGTCATTTGTCTGTGCAAATTGTCCCCTACTTGTGAAGCATTACAGATTTCATTACATTATTCCAGTTTTTATAATAAGCCAAAGCTACAACTCTAATCACATATTACTCTATGTCACATTATTATATATATATATGTATATACATGTATCTGGTGCATAAATTATTCCTATTTTATAAATTGTCAAGCCTTCTGTTCAATTGTAGCATCCATAGTAACACTAGCTTATTTTTTTACAGAGACAAAAGAGAAAAAACAAGAAGTTTGTATGTACCTGCCACGATGTAAGACAAGGAGTGCATAAAAGATGACCACATGGTTCAATACGAATGTCTTTGTCATTTTCTGCACAGATTTTACACAACTGGAATGTTGATCCCATTTCACAATACAGCTCGTACTGCTCCTGAGTTACTCTGATGTGGTCTTCGGGAGTGGCCTGCACTGCCCAACTGAGGTCTGGATTTGTGTTCCTTCCATCAGGATACAAGTAACTTAAAGACAAAAAAATAATAATCACACAAAAACTCATTTATATGGCAACAAAGATAGTTAACATATCATGCTGCAAAATTTTAACAGATTTGAACAAGCATGTTTATTCATACAACTAGGATGGATGCACTAGAAAGAGAATTTATTCCATACATACACCATCATTATCTACAATAATATGTGGAAAAAACTTTTAGATAAATGATACGACAAAAAGCTTATCCTGTACATAAAATCACTTCAAACTAAATATCAGTTTATGGTTAGCTATGATTACTGTGATCATTTAAAACTACTAGCCAGTGGTATAAATTCATAGCCCAGTTTCTTAGACAAAAAAAACGTTGATTTTACTTGAAATTTTTCACACTGTTATTTTACCACAGGAAAATTAGAACTTAAATCAGTGTTTAAAAAAGAAAACTCCTATAAACTATCAAACTAAGTCCACCATTGCTGAATAATTCTAAAACTTTCCAATTCTTACTAAACTTTCCAAACAATTATTGTATTCATCTGAACATTACTACTTTGTTTTTTATCTTAATGTGCAATAAAGATTATAGCAGATTATGAATATTTCAATGTTTCCACTAAGCCTAATGTATTTGATATCAATTTTACAAAAATTTACTACAATTAAAAAAAACAATTATTTTTCAGACAACTTATACTTATGTTGAGCTCATATCTTTAATGGAGTAAATCTTATGAACATAAACTTTTTTTTAACTATTGTTGTTGGTTGTGATTCATATGTATGTATATAATTAAAAAGAAAAAACTATTGTCAGTGTTTGGTGGAGTGTATAACTGAGAAGAAAAAAAATAATCACCACTGATGTTTTAACTGATGTTTTTTCTTACACATACACATATGGTTAACAAAAAGATCACTACTAATGTCTAGTTAGTTGGCTGTCTGTATAAGCTACTAAAAGAGTCCAAAGTTAATGCTTGATTTACTGGCTGTCTGAATGAACTACCAAAAGAAGGTAACATCTGAATGCCTACTGAAGTTCACAGTCAATGGCTGCTTGGATAGTTGCTTACATGTAATGCCAAAAGAAGCTTTCAGTTGATGTTTGATAGGATAATTGTTTGTATGAACTAAGAAAACTCAGCTGATGTCTGGTTGATTGACAATATAATTTCTGATACAGTAGATTACTTCAGCTCACATAAATAGCTAAAATCCCACATTGAATAGGTGGAGGGACTGGTGCAAGGGAAAGAAAGAAGCATTTGAAGGACACTCACTAAGATAAGATAGTCAGATTCTAAGACCTGATGTGGGACACAGCACAACTTCTGAACCAGGTATACTCTTCACCCATCATGGAAAGATGTTGCATATATGGGCAGAAAAACAGAGGAGCACATCCAAGTGGGAGAGAACTATGGCTGGATAGAGATCCAAACTATGCAATATTTATGAAACTCAATGCCAGAAAATATAAAAGTGGATAAAATGAAAAGGATGTGCCCCTAGGTGTAAAGTGGCTAGGGTGCGATGGACCATACACGACAAGTCAACTACATCCAAAACCCATGATACTGGGAACTGACATCCATGCAGGGATAGGATGAGGATCATACCATCGATAAGTCAACTACAATCCAAAACCCGGCCGCCAGGTATCGACATCCTTGTGGGGATAAGAAAGAGGATCATATCATCTTCACCTCAAGTTCATGAGATTGGAAAGAACTGAATGATTTATCTGGGAACTCGACATCCAGCATCAAAAAGATGTCTGTGTAATGTAAAAATCTCACTCAAAGATATAATGACTGGAACCACCTCAAGCACAGTGACATCCTTGGAATAATAAGCATCGAGGGATAGTGGAAGGTGAAGAAACATGGTAATCTGCAAGTACCTCCACCGTGACCACAACACGGCCCACCACCCCAGTGGCTTGGAAGTGGAAATGGAAAAGAGTCTCAAACTCCACAAAATGAAAAAAGGATGAGAAAGTGCTGTGGAGAGTAAGAAGGAAGGACAAAACCTGAGACAGTGCAATGGGTGACCACAAAACCCTATTTTGGAAAGCAGACCATATAAATTTATTAAATACAAGGCATGACATGGATGGGCAGCTATCCCCTTTTGCTTTACCCATGTAGTTCATGGGTGAGTACAGTACAGGATGGGCAAACATATGAAGCAATGATATTGCAAGGATAAACCGACAAGCGATTTTGTGGAACACCCCACCTCTGCAGTGTGCACTGCGTGGTCATGGAATCATAATATGTAAGTCAACATGGTCTTACAGTGCAGATTAAAGAATACCTGAATAGACACCACTCGCCACAGAGTGTGATCCATTAATAAAAAAAGAGGGGAGACATGCCCCTAAAAAATAAGAGGTATATATATACTAAAAGGTAAATTACCCAGTCACAGTCTCATAAAAAAGTGAAGGATGGCAACAGGTGGATGACAGAACCACATAGAGGGCAGCACTGAATGAGAATAGCTATGAATATGAGATGAGGTAATATACTGTTTCAGAATTCATTTTTTGAGACACTTGATGCATCTGAGCTTCAATTTTTTCAATTCTGAACTTTTTAACTTCTAAAATAGGCTGCTGCAGTTTCCAATCACTTAGAAACACATGCTATATATATAATTACAAACAAGAATATAAAATTTGAATCTCCTACCTTCTTTATTTTTGAAATATATCAATAAGTTTGTCATCCACCACAGAAACCCCTCCCTCTCCTTGTGACTTTTAAGATTGTTTGTTAAGAACTTATAACCAATAGAAAGAGCACATTCTCCTCTACATAAATCTTATAGTTCTGTATTCATTTTTCCACCCTAAGCCAGTGCAAGTTGATGGATTTCAGTTGATCAGATTTGGTAATTGAACAGAAACAGAATTGTTTTTAACCTATCTATAACTTACCTACAAAGCTGAATAAATTATAATAGTTTTGACACATTCTATTCTAGTGTCTGATATAGTTGTTTTGTTCCAAAATGCATATTTAAAAGCAACATTAATTTTTTTAACACTCAAACTTGTTAAATTCAATGAGGCTTAGGGGAGAATGTCAAACATTTATATTCAAGTGCTCCAGTACAAGATGAGTACTAGAAATACTTGTTTTACTAATGCATGTTTTTTTTAACTGCTATATATAGTTTAACAAAAGTACCTAAAATGTAAAAATTATAAACTTTTCAACTTAGCCTAACAAAACTTCAGCAAAATAAAATGTCTTATATAACACTAGCATAAGCTCATTGTGAAACATGACACTAGATAACATGCTGTTTACATCAGTTTTACAATAAACAGCTAATGGGTTCCAGATACAATTTAGTGCTTTGACACAAAGATTATTGCTACAGTGGGTATAAAGAACAGCAACATAAATATAAAATTAAAAGAAAATGGATGCAAAAAAGGTTAACACTTGAAACTGTTAAGATAGTAACTTGGAACTTTGTTATCAATACTGTAGTCAGTGTATAGGGAAAAATTGTATTATTGATTTTATTTCATATTTTTCAACTTTTCACTTCACTGTATATTGACAATTTCCCTACAATCAGTGTTAGGGCAGAGAAAATAAGAGATAACATATAAATTGTTATCCAAAAAATTAAATATTCATTCATGAGATTCTAGAGGTTATTTATGTGAAATGTGAAACTGTAAGATGAATTGGTTTATTCTTAACATAGAAATAACCTTTTGCTTACACTACCTCAGTACAAGCTTCAGAAATTAATTCACAGAAAAATCTTTAGTAGAAATACTTTATTAAAAAATATGTTGTTAATGTGTACAAAATACTTCCAATGTTTAGTAAAAGCTCACTGCATTTTGTGAAGATACACATAGTAAATTCAGAATTATAGTACATATAGTTTCACAGTACAACCAATTTCATTCTTATAGGGTTGGTTAACAAATTTTTGTTGGTTCTATAGATATATGTACATGTATGTATAAATATGTACAGCAAATAAAAGTTAGTTGTTAACATCTCATTGATTAATTACCTACACAAATATACATTATACAAAAGTACGCGAAACACTTTGGATAAAAAAGTTAAAGTTCAAAGTTTTATTTACCAACAATACATTAACATTTATCATATGTACAAAAAGAAAATTTGGCATGACATAAGAGTAAATGATTGAAAAATAATTCTCAAAACATGCTAAAGCTATATGGAAATTGTCCTTTGAAACTTATAAACTTCTATCTTCTAAAGTACTCTCTGCTAACTAGTAATCTTTCTCTACATGTTGATAATGAATAACGATGCTTTTTAAATTATCATATTACACATTAATGGCAGTCAGATTTAACAAATTGTAGATTTCTAGATTTTTATTTACACACACACATAAACCCACAAAGCAAAAGAGCTTTAATTCCCTGAATGTTTATATCAAATTTCTACCTGTTACCTTCTTTTGAACTCATCTACAGTTTGAACAAGTTACAAGACATAATATTATTTTGTAGAACTATGGCTAAGTGTAAAATCGAAAGCAGATACGACAAACCTACAGTGATGTTAGTTTAAAACTATTCTTTTAAAATCTTAAGGGTGTTGCAAAATAAATCACACTTTTTCCCCAAGAGCATAACAAAATAAAATAAGATTTTAATTCAATCAAAAAAGTAATTCCAAGTATCAATATTGCTTGATTGGTCCACCATTGTTCTCATGCACGAGTTTTAATTCAATTT